GACTGTGAGACTTGACTGACTGAGCTGTTGCAGTTGCACGTCGCCTGGTGGCTCACCAGTCGAAAACCGTGGCACCCCTGATTGGGCTTCAGTTGCATCGACCTCCACGTTTTTTCGGGTGAGTGCTTGGTAAAACTGCGGAATCACTGCAGGCTGCAGCTCCTTCGTCTCATGTATCGTTCTACGACCTGAAGTCTCGGCTTATCTTATCTCAGTTGCTTGTGCATCGAGAGGAGAAGTGGTGCTCGCTTGCGGGTTGCACTGGCCATGCATGCATGTTCACGAGGAAGTCAGTTTTAGGGGTACACCGCCATGGGCGCAGCGTTGCAAGTTCAATGATGGATGAAATTTATGCATCCCAACGGTCGAATTTACGCCGAAACGAATCTTTAGAGCGAAACAGGACGTACGAGATGGAAGATCTCCGGTCGGCGAGCCTGGACACGAGACCGGGCACTGCTTTGCGCATAAGCTGCAAAAAAGCAATGGATCCCTGCATTTTCTACTTTCTATCCTGCTGCTCATTTGTCTCTGATCTCTCGCTTAAGCAAATTCATAAGCGCCAAGCGTGTGTTCGCCATTTCGGCCGGCATTGAATATTCTGGATTCAGCAAATGACTGTATTCGTACGGCATACTTGCACAAAACAGTTGACCCCCCTTTCCCATGCAGCTGAGACTTAAAGCAACGCCTGTCGTTCTGACGCGAGGTGAAGTGAATAATCGCCCGGTTGACACGCCAGGGACATATGGTATCCGGCCCTGGTCGTAGCCAGATGAAGGGGCGGCCCCGAATCACACTGCACGCCTTGGACAATATCCCCATTTCTGTACCACCTGGGTAGACGTTAAGTTATGCACAGAGGCCAAACGGGACCGTCCCCTACAAGCATGTGTCCTAACTGTTACGACCGCTACAGTTGGTCACTGTAGGATTGTAACTATATAATGCAGAACAGGGGATAATGACAGCGGATTTGTCATTAGCGAAGCTTTTGCTTTGTGCCACAGTTGGTTGCCCTGACCCGCTCGTAACACTAACAATTACAAATCCGCTAATTAATGTTACGGGTCCCCTGCTACGCGGGCTCGGCATGCAAAACTACTCAACACGGAAAGCACACGAGAATCTAAAGATCAAGACGGAGTCACTACAAGACGAAGATTCTTAGTTGCGGGGTAGAAGATTTATTCAATTGTTGGCCAAATCTGGGCACAAGCAAAGCAGGTATGGCCGATATAACCACCTCAGCCGGGCAAGTAAGGACGAACCAGTTCATTTTCTGGGGACCTTCGGTATTCGGTATTCAGTGGTAAGATGCCGGTTCCATACACAATTCCCCGGGTTTGTGTCATTCATCATGTATTCGGGTGCTCATGTGCGTGGCAAACGTCATGGCTACGCCGCAAATGGCCCAACGAGGCCAGGTTCACTTAGTTTCTTACAACTCTCGCCGGGATTCCTTACACACCAAATGGCTTTAGCACTCAACGTAGTTGCAGGGCTTCGCCTCAAATTAGGTTGGGTCTAGGAAACGGTGGCCGTGATCACAAGCTAAATTGAATTGCCAATTGAACACACACTCCGCGTTTGTTGCCTTCTAGGTGAGTTGTTCAATACGGCAGCTTTAGGTCCAGATGCGTCTGAAAGTCGTTGCCTGTCATCTGACAACTGCATATCACGAGACGTCAGCGTCAGCGTCAACGTCAGCAACGTCGGGTACGCACTTTAGGCATCAGGATCTAGCGATCAGATCCCAAAGTGTTTGACTGCTGCCTGGTAATGAAATTATTATAAAGACTAAAAGAAGACATCATTTCGACTATAGAAAAGCTTTCTAGCATGCCAGATACTCCATTAAATGAATAGAAAACCGCAACATCCCGAAGACTACCACAATGACAGTAACCGAAGTAGGGTGCATGGGTGTTAAGCCCGGTTTGAGCCCCATGGACGACTCTACACCAGAGGGATCGTTTCTCTCAGGAGCGTGCAGGGCTGTGACGGTTGCAGAGGGAGGGCCTTATCGTGCATTCTGGGGCACGGAGATTGAGAATCCATTGCTGTTGTGGGGATTCTTCGACTTTGACTCGGTTGAACACCATGAAGTGTTTGCGAAGCTGTAAGTTGCACTACAGGAAGCGCTGAAAAATGTTTGAGACTGATAAAATTGGGCCAATCTTAGCCACGGCGTCGAAATTGTGAAGGACTTGCCTGCTTTGCTTACCCATGGGGAGTTCGTTAAGCACTTGTCTTTCACGCCTTCTTCTTCAGTCGCGCTTCAATGCCCTGTGACCGAGCTCGTTCTCGTGCACTTCCCCGGAGATGTCTCTGCAGAGGTGAGGGCAGAGTCGACTATAAGTGTCAGACAAATTTTTGCAGACAACTTCCAAACGTGTGTTGAAGTTACTGCCGTCAGCTGGGGATGGAGCGTGGAGAACGACTTCCCAATAAGAGGTCAAAGTGGTGATACGGGTGCGGTTCTTGCAGCTATGATAGGTTGGGGCAGTGCTGACGGGCAACGAGTCTTCTACCAGACGGAGATAGGGGAGAGGGCGAGACTTGGTATGAACTCGATTCAGGGCGCTATCACGGTGACCGGAGTTTCTATTCGCTGCCGGTACTCAGAGAGGAAATAAGAACGACAGAAGAGTAATGATACAATAAGGACCTGTCAAAAAGGTCTATCTGGCGTATTTCAATTCCACTCAGCCAGGTTATATGCCTGTTTAGAAAAGCTGATCCAGTCACTCACTTGATTAATTTTAACCTGGCGACTAAAACCAGTTGATCGAGTACCACTTCATGTTAGGTCAAATTACTCTCGCAAAGTATTACGATGGGTTTTGGTTGTCAACCATTGCGTGTTCTCGAAGAGAGTCTGGACATTGAGAATCTGGAGTACCCCGAAGATAGCGAAAACGTGAAGAGGTTGAGGAACCGGTAGAGCAAAGGGCCACGCTACCCTGGAGGCAAATAGCCAGAAGACTTACTGAAAAGGGACAGTCGTGTGACCAGCCCCCAGTCATCACGCCTGGCCTGCCTTTGGGGAATATTCCGTCCTAAACGTCAGTCGACAACCCGGCGCCGCTTACCAACGGACCGCGGTTGGTCCAGTTATTTATCGAGAGTTGGAAGTGGTCAAAGAAATGCCGGTAATTACGGATGCAGCACCGAAACCGAGCGCCCTGACATAATTGAACCGTATCCACACCTAGTCGACGTAGCACGTATTGTGGTAGGTGCCGGCGTAGGTTTTCTTCATAACCTTACTGTCGCCCATTGAAACTGATACATTTCCCGATTACTAGATAACATCAGGTGGCCCATCTGTAGGTAAAACCCGAGGCACACTGTTGGGGCGGTACTCCGTCAGGCAGGTTGGGACTTGGGCCGCGGCGGGAGTGGGAATCCACAATGTCAAAGATGTTCAAATTGCGGATAGAATGAAGGAGTAAAAAAACAGGATTTATCTGAACGACTTGTTTATTGCATAAGCCGTGACGATTGCTCCAGACCGGCTCATAGGTGGCCCAGTGTTCTTCATCTATGAAGACCAGTGCATAGTAGGATGATTATCAAGCGAACTGATTTCAGCTTTGGACCTGTACGCGTGGCTTTTTGCTTGAGATCGAATGTTGTCTTTCAGATTCAGTCTGGCATGCATTGATTCACTGCCGGCCGTATCCACCACCACACGACGTGTGTTACCGGTCCACAACACCCCTTTGATTGCCAGACTTGCTGCACGAACTTCTTGTGGGAGATGGTGCCTCATGGTATCGTGCTGTAACACTCTGGGCCCAAGCATTTAGCACTCGTGTAACCCATGAGACGAATGGCACTGGCTGTTTGCGGCGCAAGCGAACAAACCCCGATGAAGCAAGTTTCCATCCATTGAAGCATACATGATCTTCTTTTTCTCTCTAATCCTTACGGGTATATTCATACCATCGAGAAAAGATTTAAAGCTAGATGTTGCGGTGAACTTATTAACAGCTCCAGTTCTGAGCCAGACTTTGACTCATTTCCAATCATGCTTCTTGTGTTTGTTTTGTACGCAGTCATCTCCTTTTTCGTCGTTTCAATCACAGGAAGAAGTCCAGGCAATGGGGCTTCAACTAATGGGCAAGCAACAATGGGTTCCCGAATGCAGACTCGAGCAGGCGGGCATCAACCTCACAACTTTACATCGCTTGGGACCACGGTCACCATAAGATCTCCCTCCCATGCCTCATCAGTCTCCCGCCCTATTCTTGTTCGCCAGACAGCTGTCACTCCGCCAATATACTTTCCCGGATCTGCCACGCCGCTAATGGAACAAGCGAGACGGTGCCATAACGAAGCCGACTTCCCAGGGCACGCTGATATTCGTTCCCGAAAGCAGGAGGATGGCGTCGCCGCCTTTTGCAGATCCGAGAAGGGCAGGACTATTCTGAGAAGGAGTGTACACGGCGCTGAGCCCTATCCGGCTATTCGATTTCGTCACTCGGATCGATGGAGAATCAAACATGATTTCAAAGTTGAATGGCAGCCGGGGTGCGACACGGGGGAAATTAGCCAAGACATACAGCGGCCGCTTGGTGATGAGAGTCCAACATGTTACAATCTCATGAGGGCAAATTACTTGAATTGTGAGTGTTTCAGGTGCGGTTTTCTCGAGAAACTCAGCTGACTTTCAATTTCAGGCAACAATGGCGGCGTAGGCGGCAGCGTCCAAGTCGGGTGTTTGATATACACGTATAATGGAGGCAAAGATGGCGCATATTATTAGCAAATGAATCAATCTGCCCATTGATGATGGACTTGGCACTTCCTAACATGGAAATTCTCTTCGCCAACTTTGGCTTCAAAACTCATACTGTTAATTTCAATATTTGTATCAGAACTCCAGACCACGATGAGGTTTTTAATGATTTGGCGATATGCAACGTACAATACAGAATCAAATCATACTCTTCCCCAGTAAAATAAGTCATAGCGAGCAAAAGAAAAATCTTTCAGCGATTGTTCAAGCCCGAAAAGCGTCTCATGAACAGGCCTTCAGAAGGGTGTAGCAAATCCACGCTGGGAACACTCTTAACCCCAGGTCTCTTCTCTATTTCCCATAACCGTCGAAGTCCTTGCCGCAAGCCACCGACGGTGCCATTTTCTGGTGAAGCGATCATCGTCATGGATGTCAGTATCATTCTTCTCACAGCCTTGATTCGTGCATCGTAAACACGATGACTGCCTTCAAAGCAAGCCGTGTCGTACTCGAGCCGTATTAAGAGCGTATCATCGTCATATGCCAGGCACTCCACCATCAACTTGAACTTTGCGCCGTCACTCCATACCAGCTGTGGTTCGACACCATCACCCCAAACTGCATTATCCCAAGGACCACATCTGCTCTGCTGCGTGTTGTTGGATCCATTACAGCGAGCATCGTGGAATGAAGTGACACAGTCGAAGATTGGGTGATTGGGAATTTGGCTTCCGGAATCGATGCCCAAATATTCCAGCAGCTGGTCCCACGGGACTGCGTGGGCCAAAGCACCTTGAGATGAGTCTTGAACGGTATGAAGGTAAGACCTCAGAGTCGACGTGGTATCAACATGATGTACACGAACTGGCAGCGGCTCCAGGAACAACCCCACAGCCTCCATGTCCGCTTCGGAATGCCGATTGAGGAAAGGTGCGCCCAATGTCACATCAATCTTTTCGTCCTCGATTGTGACGGCCGCAGCGACTGCAGCAATCAGCAACTGCTGTAGGGTCACCCGGCACTCTCGCACGCAGGCTTGCATGCGGTGCCATAGGGAGACAGACACGCGTCCCACGAGTGATTTACCCCGGTAATCAACTCGTTCAATGTCATTTCCCAGATAAGGATGGCGCTTGTTCTTCACTCCATCCAAGTAAGCCGACCAGAACGCGACACATGATTCGTCAGATGAAATCTGCCTGCCGCACACTTCTGGCGGCGATTTTGGGGGGGAAGGAGGAACCAATGGTCCACGATGATATTCGGTGGCCACCTCTTTGAGGACGATACCCAGGGTGGTGTAATCACACACAATGTGCGACCAAATAGCAATTATTGCATTGCGCGTCATTGTGACCCGGACAGGGGGCGACGTGCTCAGGTCGAAATTCCGATTCAATTCCCTGCGGATGTTGAGACGGCGCCGTCTGTTCACACGCGGAGGAGACAAAGACAAGACTCGCCGCAAGCCGAAACCGTCATGTTGCACATACCGAGATCGGAAGATGAGATGTCGTGCCAGCACAGCGTTCCATGCTTTAGCTAATTTCGGGCCGTCGATACTTGCGGAGTATTGAGCAACCCAGCTTACGTTGAAAGCCGAAGTGCCAGATCTTAGTTGATATTTTCTCCACCATTCTCTTTCGATCGGGCGGGGGTCAAAGGCTCCAAGCCAGGCATCATTTCTTCCCTCGGCCGCCATAGGGGGCAGGGACATCTTGTCCATCTTGTCAATTGCGGCTGCAAACTCCCGCAGAGTTGGGATATTCATTATCATTCGGAGCGTGATGAGAACTCCGAAGACGGATTTCAACTTGGCTGCTAGTCGCAGCTGCTGTAGGGAGTGCCCGCCTAGCTGTATGAAATTCGAGTCGGGGCCGATTCGAGGGGACAGAGCTTCGTTCTCCAGAATTTGAGCCCAGATGGCAGCGACAACAGCCTCTGTTCGAGTGGTTGAAGAAATTTCGTTTGTTTCCGGCCGATTTTGATGACAGATGCTTGAGTCGTTGACCAGTTGCACAATAGTACGATAGTCCACTTTCATGTTTGAGGTCATCGGAAGCTGACGAGTAACTAAAGTGTGCTTGGGTATCGCAAATGGGGGAAGAGCGTCACGAATAGCCATTCGCATTCCTGCGAGATCTCCACAATTTGTTTGGATCATACAAATCAGTTGATCGCCTTGAGTTGTCACAGCCACGGCGCTGGCTCCATGCTGCTGACCACAAGCACGTAGAATACGGGCTTCCAGGTCTTCAAGATCCACTCTGAATCCCTGAAGCTTGGTCTGACGGTCCGCGCGACCCAGGAAAACGATATCGCCGGAATCGTCCCAATAGCCCCGATCTCCAGTCTGGTACATGGACTCTCCCGACTTCATGAATGGGTCAGGAAGGAAGCGCTCGGCAGTGATTTCTGGTTGCCCGATGTATCCGATGGCAACCTGGACGCCCGCGAGGTAAATGTCGCCGACCACACCTGGAGGAGCCAGTCGCTTGCATTTGTCTAATATATATCCTGGTGGTTGGGTTTGGCTTCCCAATCGTGACTGTCTGGCCCGGTCGTAGTTGCTTGATCGTGGCGCCACAAGTTGCCTCTGTTGGCCCATACATGTTGTACACGGTCTTACTGGAAGCCCATGTGTCGCACACAGTCTGCGGTACTATTTCGCCGACCAGATACACAGTCCTTAGCTGTGGGAAATCGTCCGGGTCCAGCACAGATGCCAAAGATGGGGTAAGAATGGCACAATCAACAGCATAAAGATGATGTACACTTGCTGGACTGTCCGTCTCCCGCAGAACGAGTGTAGCTCCGTATGAAAGGGCTGAAAACAGTTCATGTATGGCACCGTCAAAAGCCAAGGACATGACTTGTGCAATCCTGACCCCAACGGATGCACCCAAGCGGACTTCCAGGTTTCTTTGGAAAGCGACAAGACCTCGATGTGTGCATATGACGCCTTTAGGCTTGCCGGTTGAGCCGGACGTAAAGCAGAGGTACGCCTTGTCTGCTGGTCGAGGTGCCGTCCTCATTGGAAAATGAAAATCATAGCACAACGTCGCCTCCACATCTTCCATGGCGGCGGCAACGTTTATTACAATTTCAGCTGCAGCCGGTATACTGGCAGTTGAGCGCTTGTCTGTAGATAGAAAAACCCGTGCAGTTGATGCCTCAAAAAGGGATTCGCGGTACCTTTGAGGATGCGATCTGTCCAAAGGGCAATAGATGCCTCCAGCTCGTAGTATGCCATAAATGGACACAACCCAGTTGACGGAACCATCTGCGTGCACGGCAACTACCTCTTGAGGTTGTATCACTTGAATAAGTTTTGAAGCGACGCAGCCAGAAAGTCTCTCTAGCTCACAATAGGTGATCGTTTGATCTCCGCACTCGACGGCGATCGCGCCAGGGTAATGTGTTGAAATGTCCTCAAATAACGTCACAAGATCGTCTCTGACGGATGGAACTGTCGTTTCGAATGACTTCCAGTTGCCCATCAAGCCCAAACTCCGTCCGCACGTCTGCAGCACAAGTTGTAATGACTCCAGACTTGCCTCGGTGCGGGAAAGTGACAAGAGCGATGCTCTGAAAATGCTTGCAAGTGTTTCCATCGCCTTCGTGGTATAGCGCTCAGCAGAGTATTGGATGACCATGCCACCTCCATCTTCTTTGACGATGGCGTTGAGAGGCAAGTTCGTTGTGTGTTTGTAAAAGGACTGTTCAACCCCAGCACCCTTGACCCAGGATTCGGGATTGGGTGTGAAAGCCATCAAATTTCCCCTTACTCTAGAGAATCCGTTATTTGGCGTGGTCCATGAAAAATAAGATAACCGCTGGATTCGAGCAAAAACATCCTCTACCAGCTTTCGAGATGAAGATTGCCAGTCAAGATCGACCTGGAGTGGCAATGTGTTCACCATGGGGCCTATTGTGTCGAAGATACCGGCAAGCCCAATGTTGCGGCCCGACACAACTGCGCCGATGACAACACTGTCCGAACTTGCGTAAAGCCCGAGGCAAACTGCCCAGGCAGCATAGAAGAAGGCGGCCGGAGTGACACCGCAGGACTGTGCTGCAACCTTAACAGCAGCATGATCGGTGGGAGCAAGTTCGACAGGAACCTGCATCTCGTCCCTCTTGCCCCAAACATTGTTGGTGAATACAGAAGCGTTTGGTGCATTTGCAATGAGGAGCTCATCGTAAGCTGTTGCTAACTTGATACTTTGCTCCGCCCAAAATAGATCTCCCTCGGCCTTTCGACTCAATCTCAATTCTTGTTGAAATCGACAGAGATCTACGTAGGCCGGCCCAGGGTGCGCGGGTACAGGTTTCCCGGACGCCATTTGGTGCACTTTCTGGACCAAGAGGCCGGCAGACCAGCCATCAATCAAAGCGTGATGAATCGCCCAGATCACAGCGGCTTTACTATCAGCTGGTCGTCTCGTACGGTAGTGTAGAACGGTAAATCGCAGGCCGAAATCGACTCCATTGTTGTCGGGCCAAGGCATTCCTGGCCCAGTTGCTTGAAGCAACGCGTTCCTGTAGGCTGTTCGGCTCTTTGTTTTGAACTCTCGCCAGCAAAGTCGAGGACGAATCTCCTGTCCATCGTCTGGGATACGGTACGCTGTTTGGAAAATAGGTTCTGCTCTGCAAGCTTTCATCCAGGCTTCTCTGAGACGGAAAATATGGCTCGGATTGTGGATCTCGCTGTAGTAGATTATGTTCGCTCCGGGTGATTCCAGACTCCCATGAACAAGAGAAATTTGAATATCTGACATGTCGCATACTGTATGGTTGCCGGTGCAGAACTCGTCTGTGAAAGTCAGGATAGGGCGTAGCCTGCCGGCGTTGGATTCCAAGGACTCGTCGATTGCGTTGCGTAAACTGGACTCGTTTCTGTTTTCGCGCCATAATGCAGCTTTTTCGTCAAGTCGACTTCTGCTGCCGACCTCCCGAAAGTGTTCTCTTGGTCTCGTGGGCTCGTTGTCGCGAATACTTGCATCGTGGCCGGTCCGAATTTGCGGGTGCTTGCCGTTGTTGCAGACAGATACTGGTCGGCATTGCCGCAGCAATTCTGTAACAGAGCCGCTCGAGAGAACACGATCAACGGGGACAAAGATATCATTCCGCTTGCACTCCATACAAAATCGAAGAGCAGCCATGGAGTCTCCGCCATTGGTAGTGAAACTCTGGTCCTGGAGGATCGATTCCACACCCACTCGCAACACCGTTGCTAGTAGTTGTAGGCCTGTTGTATAATCCATTCTAAAAGTTTCTGATAAGAAGAACTTCCTTCAGAGTCGTATTGCAACCTCGCGATATCAGCAGTTGAGCCTTCGAAAACCAAAAGCATGTTTTCGAATGGCTTTTCTGACACTCTCGCAGTAATCCTACCCGATTTGAGTCGTTCACTTCCGGACGCCGCCATAATTGCCACGAAACAGTGCTTTTTTACTGAATGTAGAAAGGGATGAAGGGACGATATCCGGCAGTCCGATGGTGCCACCGGAGGACTCTTCGACTGCCTAAACCGGTAGCCACGTTAGGTGGGTAAGCCATAAGGTTTATCAACTGGCCTTCGCCGTAATCGCGATCGCTCGATTCATGATTCCGCCTGTATGGGTGGGCTCGCGTGCTTGATCCCGTCCAAAATGTGCCAAATTCCCACATTAACATCTTGACGTCTAGATGTCTGCACATCGTCCTATCTTTGACAACAATTTGACAGAAACGTTTCATGTCCTTGACACGGCGGCGGATTCAGCTGAACCTCTCAAACAACACCACGAAACGGGTCTATATTTTTCGCCGCCTTCGGAATTGACTGCCGAGTTGAGTGGACTTCCCCAGCGGGAGGCCCCTGGGGGTTGCCGTCCTTGGAGCGCTAGTGTGGTCGTGGAAACTGGTAAAGGTCAGCCGTCTCGCCGTCAGGACTCCGGTAAGGTCAACAATTATCCGAAGCAGGCGCATACACTCGATACTACAAGATGCAAGGCTACATCAAATACACCAAAGACTGTGATGACAACAAGTCGGAATCCGCTCGTCTGCATGATCAGCACGATGTGCTTTTGCACGCCATGGGTGACCGAGCCATTCTTGCTCCCGTCGACTTCTCTCGGCGATACTTGCGAATCTTAGATTCCGGCGCCGGCGATGGTCGCTGGTTATTGGACCTGCGACAGTACTTGGACGCAAATGGAGCCGACGCTGGCACCTACCATTATGTCGGGACCGACATCAATCCTAGTCTTTATCCCAAGTCACCACCCCCACACATTGAATTTTTTAATCAGTCCATCCTTGAATCTTTCCCAACTAAGTGGCACGGGACCTTCGATATTGTACATCAGCGCCTAGTCATGGCGGCAGTGGCGCCTCCAGCGACAACCATTACCTCTGTCGTTGCCGAATTAGGAGGCTTGCTCCGTCCTGGGGGTTGGTTGCAACTTGTGGAGCTTGACAATGACTGTACCTCTGAGAATGGGCCGGCGTTACGGCGATTGTTGTATTATCACCAGCAGAATTCGGAAGCAGGCGGCCTCGGCCCAAATCTTTCGGTCCACCTCAAGACTGCCATGGAAAACATCGACCTTGAGAATGTAAAGCAGCATTCGGTAGACGTCTTTTACGGGGCGAAGAATCGAGGAGGTGAGGACCTCAAGGCGAAGAGTACTAGGAGTCTATCGCAAGTCGTAGGACCAGTTTTGGCCCAAGCCAGGGGTATGAATACCATTTTCTTACGTCACAACACCATGTCGAATTCATCTAACGAAAACAGTGGCTTCACCTAACACTTATATCAAGTCTGATGAGATAACATTGCCTTCCCAACTGCAGCAGGAAGTCCAGGAAGTCGGGGCTCGACTACGTTTTACTGTAGTCTACGGGCAGAGACGCATCACATCCTGACACATGTGGGCCCCAGGCAACCAAACCTAAGTTAATATCAACTATTGTACATATAAAGTCATTGCTGTAGGCTGTGAAATTTGTTTTCAATTTAGGCTTCATGGCACGAACTCGTCCGTCACGACTTGAGAGAAATTTCCTCTCGGTTCGTCTGGTTGTAACTACTCTCCCAGGTTCAGTTCTGGATAGTCGGGTACTTTCCATCCGCCTTTATCCTCCGGCATCAGTCTATTCACCATCTCGTTTATCCTGAGGAAAGATAGAGCTCCAAGCAGTCGATTGGCCGTCCACACGCTCCATGGACTTTCCAAGTAAATCATCCCAGGCCCGCTCAATGGTAACTTCTGGGCCTCGCTGATAAATGGTCGCAAAATCTTTTCATAAGATTGTAGGGCGGCACTGAGATTGTTCCCATGTTCGTGTCTGGTGATCTCACCGGCTAGGACGTAGGCGCCAACAATACCACATGCTGTACCCATGCCACTCATCGGACTTGGACAGTATGCAGCGTCTCCAAGCAAGGTGACTCTGCCCTGAGACCAACTTTTCATCTTGATTTGTCCTAGTCGTTGAGCATAAAAGTCATCAGTGTTCAAGAGTCCTCTAATCAGGCGTTCCGATTGCCATCCTGTATTTTTGAATGTTTCTGCCCAGAGCTGCTTTTGCATATCGATGGTGCCAGTGGTTAAGCCTCGCCAGGATGAAGCATTTCCCATAATTCCGAGGTATCCTTGAGCGGAAGGCCTCCCTCCTGTACGTATGGACATAAATCGCCGGTTCGGTACCAAGCAGGCCTGTGCTGTGGGAGTGTCGTTCCGGTCCCCGGGCATGCTGAAAAACGCAAAGTTCACCCCGGAGAACTCGAAGACCTCGCTGCTTGAATCCTGGCCGAAGGCAAGTCGTCGAGTCTTGGAAGACTGGCCGTCCGCTCCGACTACCAAGTCAAATCTCTCCACCTTCCCGTCAGAGAGCGTCACGCTCACGCCGTCTTCGAACTGTTGTATATCTGTCGCATACGTGCCGAATTTGTATGTCAGACCTCCTTGAGCCCTTGCAATGCGTGCTTGCTGAAGAGAAGCTTGGTATATCACGTCCACAAGATCACCTCGCATGATTTCATACTCGCTGGTAAAGGCCTGTCGGCCCTTGCCTGAGTCGTTCTTTCCAAACACAGCCCACTGCTTGCCAGAGCGGGCGTCAACAAAGGCGATGCCGTCCTCGGCAACGGCGCGAGCTTTGATGGCATTCAAAAGTCCCAGCTTCTGCATAACCGGAATACCCTGCCCACGCAAATCTATCTGTTGTCCTCCCTTGCGTAAAGTTGGCGAACGTTCGATAATCGTAACATGATGTAGTGGGTTTGCGCGAAGCAGAAAAAGCGAGAGAGATGGGCCGGCCACCCCGGCTCCTGAAATGAGTATTTTCAAAGGCATTTTGTCGGTTTTATGAATTGGAGCTATGTTATGGATAACGATGCCCTCGATCTGCCGTGTTCGGGCTTGCTTCTACCAAATTCCAAACTTCAGGGTCATTTTGCTGCCCATATGTATAGCTCCATGGAGCTGCCCATGCCTTGCTGTGAAATCTAGATCGTTTTCGTCATCCCATTTACGCAGCAGTTGAGACATGAAAAGTACGGGAAATAGCGTAATGCAGAGGTGCACAGTTGTCATCTGTACCTTTCGCCATGGACATCCGCAAAATGTACTTTCGGGTAGACGGACGTTGTGAAACCTTTTAGCGCCGGCTGTTATGTTGGCTTGACACAGACGTCTTGAGCTTCATATCGTAGTAATCATCTGCTGTCTGACTGAGACCGCATTGCGTGATGGCGCACAGGTGACAGCGTGGCGAACCTTGATTGAGCATTTGAGTTCATCTGATGGCTTCAAACGTGCGCAGGATCATACAGCAAAGTGCAATTCGATGTAATTCGACAGTTGATAATGTTCACACCACGAACTCTCGTTCTTAATATTGCTGATTCTCCGTTAAACGTGCACCACTGGATTCTTGCAGTCGTCACCACCAACACATTTTGCTCAGCATGGCACCATCCGACTCCAATATGCCAAACGGCACCAGCGATCGAAACAATACGGTGGAAAAGCTTACGTCTCTGAGAGGAGCTCTGTCAGATCTAATCAGCACATTGAAAGAGCCAGCGACGCAGGTAGAGCTCAATGCCACACTCCACGATCCGGAGGCTCTGCCGCATAGGGAGATTGGAACGATAGCGGCACAAGTGGTAGATATCCTAGATGACGCCAAACAGATGCTGCAACCATCGCAACTGGTTCTTGCAGATCACTTCATGGGTTTGTTCCCATCTTTGTCATTTACAAAGTCGTTACTGATCTGTCTTGCCTTAGGTTATTACCTGAGTAGTAAATCCCTCGTCGCTGCAGTCTCATTCAAGATTCCAGACATTCTTGGCCAGCACCCCGGTTTGACAGTTTCTCAGCTAGCGGAGAGCGCTGGGGCTCGTGAGGACCGGTTGCGACCTGTGATGAGATTGCTATACAACAACGGCCTGTTCGTCTACGATGCCGCAAGTGACACTTATACCAACAATTCGCGGTCCAATCTCCTGAAATCCGATCACTGGACTCAGTGGCATACCTGGGTGGAGTTGTATGCTACTGAATTCTATGACATGGCACGCGGCATTCCAGATTCACTACGCACTGATTCCACCCGCACCGCAGCTCAGATCAACTACGACACTGATGACGATATTTTTACCTATTTTCAAAAGCGTGGTTGGTTACCGCGGGTGCACCGAGCCTTCAACGCAAGTCAAATTGCGCAGGCAGCTGGGATTCTCGCCGACTACCCCTGGCATCACGTGGCCGACCGAGTGATACTGGACATCGGCGGCGGCGGTGGCGCACTTCTTGCTTCTTTACTACGAGAATATCCGACTAGTGAGTGGTCATCATGTTTTCCTTTCACGCGTTGGGGGCTAGTCCCGGCCAACTATGCCTCTCAACGGAAATGAGTTCCATCTGACCATGACCTTAGTGAGAGGCGGAATCTTGGACCTACCTGCCGTCATAGATCACACTCGACCATTTTTCCACTCTGATGATGGTCAATTCTCCGATGTCGGCGATCGTGTATCAGCAGAAGATCTTGTTGCAGGAGACTTTCTCGCCGGTCCGATTCCCCGTTATGAGGTTTACGTCATGAAGTGGTGTCTACATAACTGGCTCGATCCAGACGTCAAGAGAATTCTTCAAAACATACGCGATGCCATAGTAGTTCAGGAAAAGTCTAGATTAGTGGTGCTAGATGCGGTGTTGCAAGATGGGGCAATGGGGAGGTTGGCGCAGTATGGGGACGTACAGATGCTGATGACTGCTAAAGGACGTGAGCGGACTGAGAAAGAATGGAGGCAACTGGCTGAAACTTCTGGCTGGAAGGTGCAGAGCATATACATCCTGAGAAACGCCTGGGTTAGTGCGATTGAACTCAGGCCATGAACGAGCTATGTCTGAGAGACTTTGAAACCTCGTTTCGCAGCAACAGTCTACAGTTATCACATTTGAATTTCCAGCATAAGTCATAATGTTTGTGAAAGTTCCCCATGTCTACCTGGAACTTCAACAGGCACCGAAAACTGTGTGGGATGCAATTTGATTTCGGCATCCAGAGTGCGTCATGTTTGAAGCGGTGGTTGTCCCACAATAGTTGTTCAGACGATCTCGAACAGAACCTTATCCGCATGCGAAAATCTTAAATCGTCTGAAAAGAAACGGCACTCACACAAATTCTCTTCAATGCGGCAAGTATGGGGAATTCCGGACTTTCAGCGGTCATGGGGAATCCGTCAGTATTTTGACTTGCCCGAATAGGAAGCCTGGTCGTGAGATTGAGCCGGACTCACCTAGAAATGTCACGTTCTGTTTTTGAAGGCATAGCTCGGTAGTTCTGTGGGAAGAATTGTGGATGGAGTCAAACAAGATATGTCCATTGACTACAATTGCGTCGATGATGATCATGAGCCTTTCAGTACAGAATGTTGCAATCATATGCACCCTAGCACTTATCGCGGGGATTTTGGATGTTCTTTTCCGCAGAAGATCTACGCAATGGTCACGAACTCTACTTTCCAAGATAATCAATGTAAGTAGCCTTGGACTTGGAGTGGCAATCTAATTAACACGAAATAGCAATTTCTAGAGTTGCGGTTTCCCGTGTTGAATATCGCTGGCAAACGCACCACAATCCCTTCCTGTCCCTACGTGTGGCCAAACGGACAAGGAGATACTGCGAAATTTCTACACGGTATTGAGAATTCCAAAGATTGGAGGGAGCAGCATGGGGGCGTGTACCGCATCTGGTCTGGGATGCAGCCGGAAATGTGCGTCTGCTTTCCTCTTTTTTGGGGCATTACTTACATTTGAGTCCGCCAGTGTGTTGACAAGACCTCATCAGCTCCAGGAGGTGTTCAAAGATTCGGACAAGCATTCTAAGGCGCCGGCAAACAACTCTGGTTTCTACATGAACCAACTTTTGGGTCAGTGTCTTGGACTGATCAGCGGATCAGACTGGCGAGCCGTGCGCGGCGCAATGGAAGCTCCTTTCCAGCGCAACCATGTGGCCTCGCAAGTTGAAAACTTCCAGCGCCTTGTGCAGCAGCACTTTGCAGACTTACATGCTCAAGTCGAGAGCAATTTGGCGAATGGATTATTGCACCCTGTCAACGATCTGGCGATGCTGCCTTTCCGGATCATTGCTGAAATGGTATGATGTTTCCCGTTTGCCATTATTACATGTACCTGCCATCGACTTCCGGCTGGATCTCCGGGTCT